TTGGTGTTAAGGAGGTGTGGCGAGTTAAGCCCGAGAAGCACCAGGCTGGTCTCGTCACCCACACCATGGGCTGGCCTCTTGACACCAGGACCTACGGTGGAAGTTGGACCTACCACATGGAGGACAACATGGTTTCGCTCGGCCTCGTCGTTGGTCTCGACTATCAGAACCCTTACCTCAGCCCCTTCCGTGAGTTCCAGCGTATGAAGCACCACCCCTTCTTCAAGGACCTTCTCGAAGGTGGTGAGTGTCTCGCTTACGGTGCAAGGACGCTTAACGAAGGTGGATACCAGTCGATCCCTAAGCTCCACTTCCCTGGAGGTGCATTGGTCGGTTGTGCAGCTGGTTTCCTCAACGTCCCCAAGATCAAGGGTACACACAACGCCATGAAGTCGGGCATGGTTGCTGCTGAGTCTCTTGTCGACGCACTGGCCAAGCGTGCCGAGTCCGGCTCTGAGGAGACAATCGACCTTGCCGACTACAAGACCAGACTGGACGACACTTACGTCATGAAGGAGCTTTACGAGGTGCGCAACTTGCGGCCTTCATTCCACGGTCCACTTGGCTTCTGGGGTGGTCTCGCGTACTCGGGTCTCGACTCGATGATCCTCAAGGGTCGTGTGCCTTGGACCTTCCACCACCCTGGTGAGGACCACGCTCAGACCAAGCCTGCTGCTCAGTGCGAGCCTATCGAGTACCCCAAGCCAGACGGAAAGCTCTCGTTCGATATCCTCACTTCGGTCTCCAGGACAGGTACCAACCACGCCGAGGACCAGCCTGTTCACTTGGTGGTCAAGGATGGCGACTACAAGGGACACGTTGAGAGGAACGTGGGTACTTTCGAGGGTCCTTTGGGAAGGTGCTGCCCCGCTGGTGTCTACGAGTATGTTGAGGCCGACACTCCTGCTCAGGAGGATGCATTGGGCAAGAAGTTGGTGATCAACAGCCAGAATTGCATTCACTGCTACACCTGCTCAATCAAGACACCTGACCAGAGTATTCGATGGGATGTGCCTGAGGGCGGAGGAGGACCCAAGTACTCGATGACCTAATGACAAGGATCCATTCACTATCACACATGTCCTTCTGATTCTTTCATATCAGATCACGCATTGCATCATCACACCAGAGAAGTTGGAAGAAGGAGTGTGCATTGAGATTGTCTAAAAGTACATGAGAGTGTAAGATTCGGAACTGTAAAAGCTTGTGTGCAAACGAGAGATTGTTCGGCCTACTCGGGCTTGGGGTCGACAACAATAGCAAAGTTGTTTCGGTCATTGCCTGGGTTGAGCTCGCGCTTCTTGAAGACAGTTCCATCCCAATCGTCGGATGCGCCAGGAGCCTCGGAAGCTGCCGCAGCCTCTCTTCGCTCAGCCAATGGCTTACGCTGAAGCAACCACCTGGAAAGCTTGGCCGAATCGGACTGCTTGAGAACGTTGAAGCCAAGCGAGCTGAGGATCGCCCTCAAGTGAGACTGGTTCATGTATCGCGAGTTGGTCAAACAGCTCAACGGCAGGACCAAGAAGCAGAAGCCAGGAACATCTTCGCGTTCGGGCAAGTACTTGTGTACGTGCCTCAACATCTCTCCCCTCTTCCTGACATCGCCCACGAAGTTGACAACGAGACTGAGTGCGACCATGTTGTACTTTTCCTCTTCTTTGGCAGGAACGGGGAAGTCGAAGAAGCTGTATTTCTGCACTTTGTCGCCTTGCGGGTAGAGGTCGATGTAGGTAGCGTCAACCCATCGGTATTTGGAGTAAGCAGTGCCGGTGATGGCACCAACGTCGAGAACGCGGAACTTGGGAAGGTTGCGGTCATGCTGGTAGACGGTGTTGAGAGCCTCCATGCACCACTTGCTGGTAGGTGTCTGACCGGACTTGGCGGAACCTGTCAACGACCAGGCTTGGTACTGTGCGAGACCTCCAAGGGAGTCGAGGCCAGCCTGAATCTCGTCCTTCTCCTCTGCGGTCTTTGCCTGTTCGAGCTGCTTGAGCAGAGTGTGGAACTTGGCGATCTTTTCGGCATGCTCTGCTGGTGGAACAGGTGCAGCGGCGATACCTGTGTCATTCTCTGTGTCAGCTTTGTTGGCCTTCTTGTTGACAGCATCGCCTTTGACCTTGCGAGCTTCTTTGAGAGCTGCTTTCTGGACACCGCCTTGCTTGTTGCCAGCAGCGTCCTTTCCCTTGTGATGTTTGACACCACCTCGCTTTCCTCGTGGTCGGATGAGCTTGCCCTTCTTTGCACCACCGTCAGCTTGCGAGTCGAAGTCAGCGCCGCCCTCGGCAACAGGGGCAGCAGCAGCAGCGGATGCAGCATCACCAGCTTGGGCTTCGGCGGTAGGAGCAGGAGCAGCAGGGGCTGCAGCCTGGACCTTGCCACTACCTGGCTTCTTTCCTTTCGTTCGTGACATGGTGCTTCGGATATGGGTCTTGTGCTTGTGGTGGGGCACCAAGAAGAGCCGAAGTCTATGAAACGAAAGAGTTGTCGGACGCAACTGGCCTGGGATGTTTAGGCCAAGTCTGAGTTCTTCTTTCTGACAGGGTCCAACTGACATTCAGGCGCTCTCAGAAACAACTTCTGCAGCTGCTAGCCTCGCTCACCCGCAAATTTTCAAAATTTTAGAAGAAAATCCTTACGCCTTGTGATGCTCTGAAACAAATGCAACTGCAGCTCAGTCTGCTCCACAACATCGAGAAAGTCACCGGATGAGAATGTTGAAAAGTGAAGACGTTTGGTCCCGATAACTGGCGATCGGGGACAGTCTAAGTACGATGTCACTGCTGCTTTAAGACAGAAACATGTATACTCAATTGACTGAGTGAACATGGCGAGAGCCTAGCGCTCCCAGCTTGATATATAAACATATGGGTGGCACATGCCGAATGTGGGAGTTGCTATACTTAATGATCCAGCCTGACAATGAGCGGGACTTGGTTGTACCCGATCTCTGGTGAAATCGGTTATGCACGATCTCTGATCAGATCGGTCCTCTGACCAGATCGGCTCCGCGTCATCCTTTAGCGTCTCACTGGATCGTAATCTTCAGCAGAGAAGCCGCGCACCTAGTTGACGGCAGTTGGGCTTAGTCGACCCGATCTTCTCGGACGCAGAAGGGAAGGCGGCAGAGCGAGATTACTGGAGATGTCAAAATAATATATATATAAAGGAATAATAACGCAGATTAACGCATCATTGGGTCCTGTTCCGCAGTGGAGCAAACTGAATTGCCTTTGTGTCCAATTCATTCATCTCAACTCTTTCCATCTCAAACATCATCTCACTATCATCCGAAAACAGGACGACCACCGACGTCCGTTCTGCAACTGTTCATCCTCGATCCTTACGACTGGAACGAAAGGTTGAGCCCATAATGAAGACTTCGCAAATCATCCTCACATCGCTTTCCGTTCTCGGTGTTGCCGGTATGGGATATGCCATCTACTTCGACCACCGTCGTCGGACCGACCCCGCATTCCGCAAAGGTCTGAAAAAGGAGAGCAAAAAGTTGAGCAAGGTCGAGAAGAAGGAGGCCGCCAAGCGTGCTCAACAGGAGGATGGCTTCATTCAGGATCTCTTGCAAGAGGTTCGCACGCCCGGCATTTTCCCAGCTGGTGTTGAGGAGCGCGAGCAGTACTTCCTCAAGTATGTCTCGCTCGGAGAGCAGCTCTTCGCCATGGGAACAGACAAGTACCTCGAAGCAGCTGCTGCTTTCTATAAAGCATCGAAGGTGTACCCTCAGCGTGTCGAGCTCATTATGATCTACGAGAAGACTGTGCCTAAGGAGGTGTTCGACACTATCATGCGTATCGTCAGCAAGGAGATTGCTACCGGTGGTGGTGAAGGTCAAGAGAGTATGACTGCTGCTGGTCTTGACGAGGTTGACGATGATGGACCGTCGCCATCGGCTGCTGCTGCCGCCAAGAAGGCACATGCTGAAGACGATGACGACGAGGAGGAGGACGATAAGACAGAGAGCAAGGAGGCTTCTGCTTCAACATCCGCCAAGCCAGCACAGCAGCAAGGCACCGACAGCGGCACTACCTCGAGCCAGGAGTGGGACACCCTCTCTGCTACCAGCCTAAACGAGACTGGCGTCGTGGTCACCCCTAACGCCCCCGCCTCCACAGCATCTGAGAGCCCCGAGTCTTCCGCTGCACTCTCCGCCACTGCTACCGCCGAAGAAGAGGAGACCGCCACTGCCGCAGAAACGACCGGGGAGCCCAAGTTGACCAGCATCGACACTTCGGCTTCCCTCACCAAGGAGCCTGTCTCGACACCATCCAAGCAGAACTTCACTTCTGGTTGGAGCCCTGCCCCCGTCTTTTCCGGCTCGAGTCCACGCGCTGAGAAGAAGGCTGATCCTTTCTCTGGTGGTCAGGACAACTCCGAGTGATTGTGAAGTGTGTAGCTGCAGCGGGAAGCACAGTACAATCGACCCCTTCCCTTGTTCAAAAGCGGTTCGCCTAGCCCAATCTATCGCAAACCGCACACTCTCTCGTCCACTTTGGGATTCCATCTCGCCCATGCGATGCCATCGCTTGCGTTCATTGCACACTCGAGGCATTGCTTCGTGAGAACCTACGACTCATTTGTAACACATACACTGTCTTGACCTCTTTTGCAACCAATGCTCCACTCCAAGCTTCAAAATTCCCTGCTCTTCGTGACTCTGTGCTTGCATATTCATGTGATTGCCGTCTCTGACTGCGTTCCTAGGGCCTATGCCTTTGTTTGGTTCTGTCTGCAGTCCTTGTGCAGCTCCGGCGCCAGCACCTTGATACTGAGCAGGCGTTTTCAAGCTGGTACGAGGGTACATGTAGGCAATAAAGCTGGTACGAGGGTACATGTAGGCAATAAAGCTGGTACGAGGGTACATGTAGGCAATAAAGCTGGTACGAGGGTACATGTAGGCAATAAAGCTGGTACGAGGGTACATGTAGGCAATAAAGCTGGTACGAGGGTACATGTAGGCAATAAAGCTTTAACGTCCGAAAACGTTCGCCCCGGTGGCCAAGTTGGATTAAGGCATGTGGCTTATGTTTCTCAGATGCTTATTAGCCTCTCGAGATCATGGGGTTATTTCTTCGCAGGAGAGCAATCTTCTAATCAAGTAACCGCGAGATCGTGGGTTCGAGTCCCACCCGGGGCATCTTTTTTCGGATTTTTGCTCCGATCTTAGAACAAAGAACTAGACCATTGAACGCCGACAGACGAGGGTAATCCCCTCACCAACTTTCGAACAAGATCGATGCAGAAGTGGCCGAATTATGGTCATTTCAAAAAAAATCAGTAGGATGGTTTCGCGACACCGCGACGACGATAACACACAAACCAGCCAATACCAGCGTTTCCGACAAACAGATTGCAGGACGACCTTGGTCATGGCTGTGCGCATCCCGCCGCTCTCCTCCCAGACTCGTGCCTCCAACAGCCGCCGAGTTAAGCGTGTGAGTGATGGCCTACGGCCGTGGTTCCAGCCCGCCCATTTCTCCGGCCCTTTTTTTGACATTTCGAACGACATTTCTTCGCCAACGAGCGACGTTGGGGAGCCCTAGACTCTCGTCTTAGGCAAAACCAACACCACCCAATACAACTACCAGCGTCTCCCCATTTGACATTGGTGCCACAGGCCCTCTGATCGCGACGAGACCCTTCAGAAACTCGCAGGCTGTGCCTGCCGCACGCTGGCACCCAGAGTTCCACCTCACTGGCCCATTGTCTCCGACGCTTTGACCCCCACCCTCTCATCTCGACGCCACGACATTGAACTGCGACTCATCGGCTGCCCAGCCCCCTCTCAGCCCTCCCTTTTGGAGTGCCTTGCCTTGTCCTCACTAGCCTACCATCAACCATATCGCTCTCTCTCAATCTAAACTTTACTGCAACACCGTCTGCCAATCCCACCAAGCCTCCATGCCTGCCATTCGCAACCAACATGCCTCCCAGCATGCCCCTACTGGACAACCCAGCCATGGCGATGTCACCCGTGCCAATATGGCCGCTGACGAACCCGACCAGACAGCCATTGTCCCTATCTACACTGGCAGGCATCTTTGGTCCGGCAAGCGTCCCATGGAGCCTCTGCCTCCTGGTACCATCTGTGCCCCCGAAGTCGCCTATGAGGAACTTCCCCTTCCCAACGGCGATCGCGCTAAACTGCCGCCGTGCACTGTGCGTTGGCAATTCACCGGTGCCTTTAATCTCAACCGCGACGAAGGCATTGCACGTGGCTCTTTCCGGGTCCAGATTCGTCAAGCCCTCACTGCAAAGAAGGTTGCCAATGTGGCTTGCACCAACAGCTTCCCACGCGGCACTGGCCGGCAGAAACTGGTGGAAATCACCATTGCTCCGGATGTACTCGCCGCGCTGGCTGACGTCAAGCTGGTTTTCAACGGCTCTACCCTTCAGCGGCTTTTCGTTGGACCCGCCCTGCCCAACACCGCAATGGTGGTCGATATCCGCGGCGTACCTCTGTCCGTCTCACGCCTGGCGACTGCCAGGTACATCGCGTTGGGTTTGCAGCCCTACGTTCGGGTTCACGATGTCTGGGCTACTCAAATTAGCTTCCTCAACGACCCCACGCCACCCGAAGACACAAACAACATGGTGGCTCTCGTCTCATCCCGCCGCCAGTGCCGATGGCGGCATCGACCCAGCCCGAGTCCATGCCATTCCTGGCTACATCAAACTGGGTGGTACCGATTGCGAACTTCACTATGTCGGCCGCCTCGCTTGGTGCACCACCTTCAAGGCGGACACCGCCAACTTCCACCTCTTCGACCTGTGCCCGCTTCGCCGTTGTTACAACTGCCGCGGGTATGGCCATGCAGCTCACCAGTGTACGGCTGAGACGGTTCCGAGCATCCCGGATGCCGACATGGCCGATCAGTAGGCTGCAGACGATCGCCGCCGCGCTAACACGCTCGACTATGGCACCAACTAGACGGGTGCGGTACTCCAGCACCATCACAATCGCCACTTGGAATTGCGCCTCTCTGCAGTCCCCAGACAGGATCGCCGCACTGCACGACCCCTCTAATGACCTAGGCAAAGCCGACATCGTTCTCCTCCAAGAGATGCGGCTTGCTGCCCCCGCCTCCCTTCCCCTCCTCAACCCCTTTGTCTCCCTTCACCACCCAGTTCGTCCCCGGGCTCACCAAGCAGTTCTGGGTAAGGATGCCGGCATCCTAATTCGCAACACTCGCTGGGAGGTCGAAGCCACCGAACACCATGACCACTGCACCTACGCACGTGTTCACATACCACCCAGCGGGCCAGCACTGGGTGACGGTATCCGCCTCCTCCACATTTGGAGCATTCACGCCCCACCTTCACATGTTCCTCAGGCGCAATTCTGGAACGACGATGTCCCTCAACTCTCGCGCCTCGATGCCTCGTCCATACCCACCGACTCAGCAGGCATCGTCGGCGCGGATTGGAATGCGATCGAATCAGAGGCTTTTGATCGCTTTCCAGCCCGTGGTTCCACACCGCGGGTCCCCCACGGTCTACTAAACCAGGCTGGCCTGATCGATGTGTTCCGAACACTGCATCCGACGGGGACCGCTTTCACACGGTTTCACAAGGTCGACAATGCCATCGTCTCCACTCGACGCCTCAATGGCGTCTCTGTGACTCACAACTTGGTGCCCCACCTCAAGTCGGTTGACACCCGGCCCAGCCTCTCTGATCACTCTTCTGTGACAGTCCGCATCGGCACCAGTCATGCTCGGACTGATTTGGGACCTGGTGCCTGGCGACTCCATCGAGATGCACACCGGCAGCCAGGTTTCGCACTACGCATATCTCAATTCGCAAGCCAGCAACCGGAACACCTCAATCGCGCACCAGTGGACACTTTCTTCGCTTTTGCGGAACGGATGCGAGCCACAGCGGCAAACATCTCAACGACGCAAAGCCAAAATGGGCACAAGCGAGAGTTCCACCGCCAGGAGGTTCTGCGGCAACTAGCAACACTCGATATCCGGCACGGTGACAAGACACGTGCACAATTCCTGCGTCTCCTGACCCAGCTGCATCATTTAGATTCTGCCCGCGCAGACCAGACAGTTGCATGCGCGCCGCCTGCAGGAAATCAACATGTACCAACCAACATCTTGGATCATTCCTCGGCTCGAAAGCCGCAGTTTTGCCACTACTCCCGACCTTGTGGATGATCGTGGAACACATACGGAGCCGCACGCCAAACTGCGCGCAATCCATCGTTTCTATACCACCCTTTTCACCCCTAGGCATCGTGACATGCTGTCAGAAGAAGCGGCAGCAGTCCTCCATGGTTCTGTTACCCACCGCATCTCTTCAGCTACGCGGCACCACCTGGAAGCACCCTTCACTGTCTCGGAACTCCGAGAGGCGCTCCAGCGCGCACCTGATACGTCAGCCCCTGGGATGGACGGACTCACTTTTCCCCTCATTCGAGCAGCCGGCGGTGTGTTCCTGGAGCGAATCAGCCGCCTGGGAAATGCGCTATTGCGAGGACACCGCCTTCCGGTCGGCGAACCAATGCTCCGCGGTGTCCTCCTCCCAAAAAAGGGCGATCTGTCCTCGTTGAGCAATTATCGGCCGCTCTCTATCGCGAACACCGCCTTTCGCCTGCTCGGCGGTGCGGTTTCCAAGCGACTGCAGGCAGCGGCAAGCGAGGTGGTTCACAGTGCGCAAACTGGTTTCATCACTGGCCGTTCTTCGGCCTCCAACATTATTACGGTGGCTCTTCTGCAACATGCCATCAAATCTGGTCACATCACGGAAAACTTATGGATTCTCAATCTCGACCAGCAGAAAGCATACGATCGCGTCCGACATGAGTGGCTCCTCGCCTGTCTTCAAGCATATGGGTTCGGCCCGCGGTTCCTGACGTACATTACAGAGGTCTACCGACACCCTTCGGTTCGGCAATCCGCCGAGGGCCACTTCACCGAGCCGATTTTCCTGCAATGTGGCATTCTGCAGGGAAATCCAATGTCTTGTCTGCTCTACAATCTCAGCCTGCAACCACTCCTCGACCATGCGCGAGGTCACCATCACGCAGGGACAACTCTCCAGTGGGACACCACTGCACCTCTCCTGGTTTCCTCGCTGGCGTTTGCAGACGACATCCTGCTCGTAGTCAACAACCGCCGCGATTTGTCGAACTTTATCGATTCACTTGGACTTTACGAGCTGGCATCGAATGCCCAGGTGAACGAGGAGAAATCGCAGGCCTTTTTCTTCGCCAACGGACCTACGCCAGATGACCAGATCGACGAGTCTGACATTCCTTATCCGACTCTAGGTGAATCGATGACCGAAATCATTCACCTCGGCTACCCCATCCGCCTCGACGGCGGCATACCCCAGACCAACATCGATCGACGCCTTGCCGGCCTCAAATCCAAGGTCAATGTCCTAGCGACCACCAAGACCACTCTCCTCGCACGAGCGCGCATCTGCAACTCGTTCCTGCTGGCGAAATTGTGGCATGCCTTTCGGCTATGCCCATTACCGAAATTTCTGCAACGCGACATTAACGCCATTATTCACCCTTTTCTTTTTCTGGGTCGCCGCAACTGGATTCGTTTTGAGTACGTCATTGTGCCTCGGCATTTGGGTGGTCTGGGCGTCATCAGCACCCACCACATGACCATCACCTTGCTCGGCAAAGAACTCGCTGCCCTCCTCACCGGCATAGACAGACTTGCAACCCAATTTTGCGCCGCGCTGCAAGAATTCCTCTGGTCCGAATACGGGGCTGTTCCAGCCCATTTCGTCATTCGACATGGCCAACCGTGGCTGCAAATGAACAATGTCTTGCTTGCACAAAAGTCGTTCATGCACCGCGCGGTTTACACGCTCTGCCAGCTGCAGTTATCAGTTGCACCGGACTGGGAGTCCATCTCGGTGCCTGAACTTCTCTCGCTGCCCTTCTACAATGACATGTACGGCTTCACTTTCCCTTCGGTCAGCCAAACTACGCTGAACACCTGGGAACGGAATGGGTTTCGTGTCTGGGGCGATATTCTGTGGTACAACCCAGACGTCCATGGCCGATCGCAAAGGGTTCATCCGAGCTCCACCCCGAGATGCTGGCCTCTCGTTCCCCCCTCGGCTTCTGGCGTGCAGAACAATTATGTCCCGACACGAGGACACCCA